TTGAAATGATATTTTCTTTGTCCTTTCACACATGTGCACAGAGTTGAAATAGCATTGCCACCTGCTTCAAGCGAATCCGATTTCATGCATGTTTCAAAGAAGAAAAGGTGCTCTTCAAGGTTGAACAAGGGCTCAGCTTAACCCCCACTTGACAAATCTCACACTGCTCATTCTTGTCATCCATGCAGGACTACATGAAAGAATATCATAGGGAGCTATGCAAAAGGTTGTTGTACCATCGCTTCAATGACTTACATCCAAAACGTCATTTCTATGCTCATTCGGTTCAAGCAGTGTCGGATGCGTGCTTAGGCCATTTTTTAGCCCCCTCCCTTCCTCTCCCCCAACCAACATATGTAACAAGTCAAGTTTCAGAATTGTTTATGTGGCTACTGTTTTTGTCTTGAACTGGAAGATTGCGAGGGGCACAATAATCAAATGATATGAACTCTGTATGTGGCTACTGTTTTCATGTACATATATGTTGGTAAAGAAGTGGATTATACTGGGTAGACCTTTTCTGTGGACTAAATATAGTTTGAGTACGTTGTACACAATGAAACTGAGTTCAGTATCATATGAAACCTAAGGAAATGATACTGAGGAGGATCATGATACCTCCCAGGGTTCACATGATCCTACTCAAGTATCATATGTGAAACCCATAGGAAACCACTTTACAAGGCATGATACTGGATAGGATCATGTGATACTTCACAGGTATCAATCATAATGAAACACGATTCTCCTCAAAGTTTCATTATGTATGATACTTGTAAAGTATCACATGATCCTACCTACCCAGGTATCATGATCGACGATTTTCCTAGGTAGGATCATGTGTGATACTTCACAAGTATCACACCATCCTACTAAAGTATCATCTCTGAAACCTCACAAGGATCATGTTACCAGAGATGATACCCAAGTAGAATCATGTGTGATACCTGTAAAGTATCACATCATCCTACTAAGTATCATCTGTGAAACCCATAGGGATTATGTTAGAAAACATGATACCTAAGTGGGATCATGTGTGATACCTCACATGTATCACACATGATACCTAAGTAGGATCATGTTAGAAGACATGATATCTAAGTAGGATCATGTGTGATACCTCACATGTATTACACTTAATGATACTTTTTTTATTAGGATCATATGTGATACCTGTAAAGTATCACACCATTAAGTAGCATTCGTGAAACTCATAGGGATCATGTTAGAAGACATGATACCTAAGTAGGATCATGTTAGAAGACATGATCCCTAAGTAGGATACATGATACCCAAGTAGGATTATGTTAGAAGACAAGATCCCTAAGTAGGATCATGTGTGATACCTCACATGTATCACACTTAATGATACTTTTTGAGTAGGATCATGTGTGATACCTGTAAAGTATCACACCATTAAGTACCATCTGTGAAACCCATAGGGATCATGTTAGAAGACATGATACCTAAGTAGGATCATATGTGATACCTCACATGTATCACTTAATGATACTTTTTTGAGGAGAACCATGTGATGCTACAAAGATATCACATGATCCTACAAGAGTACCATGTGATCCTCAAGAGTATCATGTGATCCTACTAGCGTATCACATGATCCTAACAGAGTATCATCTGTGAAAACCACATGAATCATGTGCTACTTGTGTGAAAATTTTTAGCAATCACATAACAAATTGTGTGTGAAAAACTACCTCCACCAACAGCCAGGACACTCAGTGTACATCTTTTGATCATTTTTCTAATACAAAAGTTCAACGATAGTATGCAAACACACAAGCAATCTTTTGACAAATATTGGAGATTAAGCAGTCCTTTTATGTACATTCCATCAATTTTTGTACCACACAGGGACAAGTCATGCATACCATCTGTTCTATCCACTTCCATATCATCTGGGTCACATCTAGCTCTTTTTTTTTCGCCGGGCCAGCCAAGATAGGCCAACTAAATTTATACTTACGATTGAAGAATATATACAAATATACAAAGTTTTAACTTCAACTAGAAGCCGTCAAAGTAATGGAAGTTGTCACCGGAGCAACCTCTCTCCTATATTTCTGAAAACCCCAGCTTCCTTCCAAATCGCCACCTCCTCTTTGATTGAACCAAACAGGAAACCGGCTGAGCGCCGCTGGTTCTGAAACACACGCGCATTTCTTTCCTTCCAAACCATCCAACAAATAAGCAGCACAAGGCTATCAATGGCATCCATGTAGTTGTTCCGAAATTTTTGCCGCATCGCTAACCACCATTCGCCCAAGTCCAAGCCTGACTCATATGGCAGCAGGAAGCCAACCCCAATCCAGCCCTTGATCATTCTCCACACCCTGGTCGTGTAGGTGCAAGACACAAATAGGTGTTCATAATCTTCATCAACCACCAAGCAAAGTTGGCAAACCTGCTGGTTCGGCCAGCCACGCTTACTTAGATTATCCGCCGTGAGGCATCGCCCTTTTTCGGCCAACCACATAAATAATTTCACCTTTGACGGCGCTCTTGTTTACCAAATCAGAGTACCACATCGCGCCACCGTGTTTGCCATGAAGAACATGCTGTAGGCCGAGTAGGGAGTGTATTTTTCATTTGGTGCCCACTTCCAGATTGTCTCATCTTCCTCCCCATCTTGAAGTTGCACCCCCTAGACCACGTCCCAAATCTGAAAGTATTCCCCAATTGCACGATTGGAGGGTGCCCCCTTGATGTCTCGTACCCACCTATGGTTCAGAAGCCCTCATGCCACCGTCAAGCCCGAGCGCTCGACGTGGCTGAAGATCAAGGGGAATCTCAACTTTATGCTCCTCACCAGCAACCAGTCCGCCAGCCAAAATTTGGTGTTCTTCCCATCACCCAACACTTGTCTCGTTCCTGCGAGGTAGAGGTCTTGCAAGTCTTTCGACTGATCTATTGGAACTGTTGTTCACGGTGTCGACGTTTTATGTCGCGATTCCGGTATTTGCATAGTATGGGAATCGTTGGTACTAGGATATATGCGAGATTGAAGTAAAAGAGATGGGGACGAGGATTTTTATATAGGTTCAGGCCCCTTATCTTACAGGTAATAGCCCTACATCCCATTGGCCGAAGCCGGTGTTGCTCTTTATTCATCTGGATCACACAAGTACAATATTTGGAGTAGCCTATCTAACTGTTGTCGACTTGGCGGTCTGAAGTGCTGACTTGTAGTCGACAACAGGGTAGCCTTCCTCCTCGAATCCGCATCCGGCGAGATCAAAGACAGCGCTATATCTCTCCTGATAATATCCGTAGATACCGTAAGGGACTAGCCATGCTTATCTCTGAATTCGATATCCGGCGTCTTGTCTTGCATGTTGGCTTTTATGTTGATCTTGTGTCTTGATCTATTGTTCCGTGTCCCCTCTCCTCCTAGGGGGCCCTGTATTTATACCCATAGGTGTCCCCTTGTCTAAGTAGAACTAGGGAAACCAATATGGATACAATCCAAGTAGTCCTTGTCGTTTCCATGTAGAACTCTATTCATCATTCCTTATGCGGAATTCCTCCTATATCCGAAGGTTGTTTTCGTATAAGACATGGTATGTGGTGGGTCCTGCCGAGATTTAGTCAACTACTATTAGGTATATGGTATCCATAACCTTGACACACGGCCTGTCCTGTTGTTCCCCCTTTTTGCCAACCACTTGAGACGAAGTCCTTGCCGAAATAATTGATGTTCTTGATTCCCAGCCCGCCATTTTCATGTGGCATGCAGACCGCTTTCCAGGCAACCAAGCAGTGTCCGCCATTCACCTCTTCCTGCCCTTTTCATAGAAATCCCCGGCACTTCCTATTTATTTCTTTGATTGCCCACTGTGGGAGCTCAAGTACAGACATGTAATGCACTGGCAAAGCAAGTAGGACTGTCTTGATCAAGGTCAGCCGGTCACCGGCGGAGAGAAACTTTGGCTTCCACCCGGCGAATTTCTTGACAAACCGGTCAAGGAGCGGTTGGACATCGTGCTTCGTAAGCTTTCAGAGGGGGAGCGGGAGCCCGAGGTAGGTGATTGGGAACAGCTCGACTCTGCAACACAGGATCGACTGGACTAGCTCTGATTGCTCTTCTGAACATTGGATCATGGTGACTGCACTCTTTAACATCTAGCTCTAACAAGGGCCTCCTTTAACATCTCTATTTCAGCACTTAACTCATCCAACACTAACTTATCTACTATTGTTGTCACAACTGACTCGCTAGCTACAGACACACTAGCAGAAAGTGCACACAAAGGAGATTCACTCGAGGGGGCATCACTTTTTTTTATTCTCCTGGGCATCAAAAGAAATCACACAAAATAGCAACAAAACATCAAAACACATACATTGCATGCATAAAATAGAGATAACAGAGAACTGGCTTTAGAATTCTTACGCGGGCTGATGTTGAGCTTGCAGCGCATAGCTGGAGCAGAATCGGTCGAGGAGGTAGGAGCAGAGCACCGGATTGCAGAGGAAATCGGTAGACGGCGTGTGCGCCGGCGAAATCAACAAAGGAGGCGCGCGATTCCGAGGATCAATCTTGGGGATGCGGAGGAGCTCGCGCCGGCGAGGAATCGTGCGCGGAGGCGCGCGATTTCGAGGAGGATTCGTCGGGTTGCCGAGGAGCTCGCCTTGCGCCGGCGAGGAATCGCATGCCTTGCTGAGGAGCTCGCGCCGGCGATTCCGAGGAGGATTCGGTGGGATGTGTTCAGGTGGCGCGGCGAGCACTGGTACGATACGATTCTTTCTGTTTTTGTTGACGCGCGCGGTGACGATACCGTGTTGGTTTTAGAATCATCCTGTTTTTCAACGGGATACCGGTATATAGCAGCTTTTTTTAAAAAACGTGCCCGTGTAAGAGGAGGAAAGGGTAGATTGAAGCCGTTTGTAATCCGGATCGGACTCGTGTAGTCGTATTGCAAGACGCAATCACGACCGTTGGCCACAGATCGGGCGGTCAGGACACCACTCGCCACACGTTCTCCTCCTCACCCGCAGCGGCCCGTACCCTTCCCAAGGAGAGGCGGCGGCAGCGGCGGCGGAGGTGGCGGCGGCCGTATGCGGGAGAGAGAAAGAGCTCAGCTCGCATGGCCATCGCGGTGAGGTCGGCTGCGGCGGTGGCGAGGCACTCCCTGCGCCCTCCGCTGGCCGCGCCCGGCAGCATCCGCGGCGCCTCGCTCCTGCCGCCGCAGCGCGCTCGCGGCGTGGGCCCGTGTCGCGCCCGCGCTCGCGCGGCGAGCTCCTCCGCGACTGGAGGTGGCGGGCACCTTCCTCCGCTGTTCAGGTGAGCGGGGAGCGGAATTATTCCGTGTTTTAGGCAATGGAGACGGGCGGGGATGGCGGTGCTGCTCATGGATAGCTGATTGATTTCGTGGTTTTCCCCCTCTTCTCCTGCAGCGTGGCGCCGATGATGGACTGGACGGACAACCACTACCGGACGCTCGCGCGGCTGATCTCGAAGCACGCGTGGCTCTACACGGAGATGGTGGTCGCGGAGACCATCGTGCATCAGAAAGATAACTTGGTGAGCTATATGCCCTTCCGCCCTTCACTTCTTCATGATTAAAACCGGGTGAAACGTAGATGAGAGAAATGCAAATCCTTGCTACGGAGGAGGAAACCCTGCAACTGATCAGCAGTGAAGCAACCTGTGGTTTTACCACGATTCTGAATTACTGTGCGATGTGAATCTGGTAGTGATTTGATTGGAGTCAGCAGCAAACTGAATTCGTTTACGATTGGCCCACTTTCATTCATGTCAATAACAATGCCACAGGTGTTCCATGAAAAACTTTCCCGTGCGCATTGCATAAGTTTTCCATTCTCTTCAAGCTATATCTGGTGACTCTTTAAGTACACTCATCAGAGTCTTATAGTATAATGTTCATCTTAATAGTTCCATTAGCCCATGGTGCGCTTTCATATATCACAACTTGGAACCTAATCATACAGCGGCATTCCACTGATTCCTTTTGTCAGATATAGTTCATCTCCTCTGCTGTCTCAATCTAGGCATATGCGAAGGATATCCATTGTTTTAGCTAATCAGCTCTTTTTTTCACATAAATATTGCAGTTTAATGAAAAAAAGAATCAACTTACTGCCTTATCGGGATAACCAGCAATGTATTGCCCACATGTTTTTTCTTTTGTATGTTATCAAGTTGCGATGAGCTTTCTTGGCGGCACTGGCAGCTTAATATGGGGGAACCACTTCAACTCAACTTGGCACCATCAGTGCTGGCTTGTTTTGTATATTTGTCACTATGTCTTCAATCATTGTTTCTTAAATTCTACTTTTGGTGCAATGAAGGCAACTGTGAAACGTGTCTACGACATATGGTTCACATTATGTGCACATGACACTGCTACACAGAATTGATAAATCTTATTCTTTTGTCGTCACAATATGCAGGATAGATTTTTAGCGTTTCCTGCTGAACAGCATCCTATTGTGTTGCAAATTGGTGGAAGTAATCTGGATAACTTAGCGAAGGCAACTGAACTGGCAAATGCTTATTCGTACGATGAGATCAACCTAAAGTAAAAAAGCGTCACTCAATCTCATCTAATCATGTATGACATTTCTTTTATTACATATAATTTACTCCAAACGTTTTGTATCAGCTGTGGCTGCCCCAGTGGCAAAGTTGCTGGTCATGGTTGCTTCGGTGCTCGCTTAATGTTTGATCCAGAGGTTTGCTTTATGAATTCATTGCAGTAAACCATCAGGTAGCATCAATTTGTTCTTTCTCCACCCTTAGTAAATATTGATTCAATTATCTGAAGTTTGTAGGGGATGCTATGTCAGCTATTGCTGCCAATTGTAATGTCCCAGTCAGCGTTAAGTGCAGAATTGGTGTTGATGATCGTGACTCCTACGAAGAACTTTGTGAGCTTTCTTCAGAGACCTCTCATGTTCCTTTAAATTTCCTTAGGCTTCCCAGATATGAGCCATGGAAATCATGTCAAATAAGTACACTCTATCAGATGCACTTTTACACCGAAAAGGATCAATCAACAATGGGTTGCGGCATGCTTTAATGTCTCATATTATCAAAATATGTTAACCTATACCATAAGCTAAATATAAGTAAATCACTTGCTGGTGTTATCTGGTTGTTTTACAAGAACCAGGTTACCTAGCTGTAGTTGTTATTGGTTACTGGTCAGTGTATTTGTACTCTTCTGGCGGTGGTTGTGCCCTTAAGGTCAAATTGAAGAAAGAAAAAAACAGTAGTATCTCTTGTGCATAGTGATGCTGGACGGTTAAAATCTTGGATTAGTATTAACTGACCCCTAAAATGTACCACTGGTGCAATTACTCCTTACATTTCAAGTTTTCAACAGCATCAGAGCATAAAAAAAATCTCATATCTTCTCAAATCAAAAGAATAGTTGAAAGCTTCTAACATCAGTGGAGAGTCTCTAGTTCTCTGCATATATTTATCATGACTTATTCCAAATTAATCTACTGTATGTAAATCTGCTTGTAGATGAAATGGTGGCATGATGACATTTACTGCAGTTTATCTTTTTTTAGGGCCAAAAATAATCACCCATGGCTGTTTGGCTAAATTTGAAAAATTCCCCTTTCCCCCTGAGTTGGCTGAGGATTATCTTCAAAGCATTGGACTCCTATTAAATTGCAATGTTTAACTATGGTTGCCAGTTAATTGGTGATGTATATATTTGACATGTGATCAACCTTTTTGTATGATAACAACATCCTTTTACATTTATTTAGAGATTATCCCTTCTGCACACATCAAGCTGAAATAATTAGGTAACTGAATAATGGGAAATCAAGTCTAAGAATAAGTTGCTCAATTTAATTGTTTTCTTCTTGTTATGATATATGGATATGGCCCATTTCTTTTTAACATGTCACACGACATAGTTCCTTTTGTTAGGAATTTGTAACATATCTTTTTTTTATTTATATTACCCAGTTCAAATTCTATGTCATGCTGTAGGTGCATACTTTTAATGATTCTCATTCATGTTACTCTAGATAAATTTTTCATATGATGTTTAATTAGTTCTTGTATTGCATGGTATTTAATTATCATAGGAGTATTGTTTGAGGGTTAATTTAACCTCATGTGCTGATACAGTGCCATATTGCAACAAACTACGTATCTTTCTCACTGTTAGGTACATTGACTTTTTTTTTCTTTCCCAGGTGAATTTGTAGATAAGGTTGTTTCAAAATCACCAACTAGGCATTTCATTATTCATGCCCGGAAGGCATTGCTAAGTGGCCTCAGTCCTGCAGAAAATCGGAACGTTCCTCCTTTAAAGTATGTCACGCCCATGATTTTCTTTGTGTAAAATATTATTCAAATTTGATGGATAAGTCTTCGTGGTCCTTGGTCGTGATTCTTCTTTTTGCTTTTGGGTAGTTTCACCTTTTCAGGACAGCATCTACTTCTTTAGCGTATTTTTCAGTTGCTAGGACAGCTGCGGTTAGTAGGACAGCAGCAGTTAGCATCTCCTTTATGCCTCCTTTATGCTTTATTCAGTTTGGATGCCCTCTAGGACAGCATCCCATTCAAATTTCGAATTTTAGACTAGGAGGGTGCAGCAATAGGCTAGCAGCCAGCTATGGCTATATATATATGTATCCAACCTCCCTCGGGTAGGTATGGCTTTGTGTTTTGTGAATGAAGAAAACCAGAAAATTGCCCCATCTCGAGTGCCATCCTCTTCTCAATGAGAGTAACCATTGAAGTTCTAACATCTGGTATCAAAGCCACACTTTCCTGTAGGCTAAACATCTCTTGTTCCACCCCTTCCCAAGCTCGGTTGAGCTCTCAGCTAGCAGCAGCAGCAGCAGCAACACCGGCTGCTCCTCCTTCCCCTTTCCCTTCCCCCTCTCCACGCAGCAGCCCCCCGGAGGTGTGCCATGTCCGACGTTCGGTCTCGGCGTTCGGTCGCCTCGAGCACTCGGCGTCAGCAGGACACCGAGCTCGCCGCAGCAGAAGAGCGCAGGCGAGCAACGGCTCAGACCGCTGCAGCAGCAGCGAGGGCGGCCAGACTGGCGGCAGCGGAGTTGGCAGCAGCCAGGTCGGAGGCGGAAGCAGAGGCGGCGGAAGATGCGGCACGTGCGGCGGAGGTAGAGGTTGAGACCTTGCGCAGCAGCATCAACGGCTCCATCGCCGGCGACATCACCGCCGACAGGGAGCTTGAGGAGCTGGCAAGAGGAAGGGCACGGGAACGGGCAGAGCGGCGGCGGCGGCCCAAGGGACCGCGCACCCGCCGACGGGAACCCAGATGGGCGCGGGCGTGCCGGCGGCAGCCCGGAGCCCGCGCGCGGCCCTCGCAGGCAGCGCGGCTCTCCCTCCCCTGACCGGTGCCATGGTCACCACGGCGTCCAGACGGTGGTAAGGGACTTTGGTCTCGGCGGTGGGTGGCCTACCCTCACCAAAACCAACTACATCGAGCGGGCCGCGGTGATGAGGGTGAGGCTCCAGGTGCGGCACATGTGGGAGGCAGTCCGGTACGGCGACGTTGACTACGATGAGGATCGGCGGGCACTGGATGCCCTCATCGCTGCAGTCCCGCTCGAGATGCAGTTCTCGCTTTCCCATAAGTGGACTGCCAAGGAGGCCTGGGATGCCATCGCTGTGGCACGTATCGGCAGCGACCGCGCCCGCAAGTCCACACTGCAGGCACTCCGCAAGGAGTGGGAGAACCTGGCCTTCAAGCCAGGTGAGGATGTTGATGACTTTGCCCTCCGTCTCAACACTCTTTTGCAGAAGATGGTGCAGTACGGCGACGACACCTACGACGAGGAGAGAGCTGTCGAGAAGCTCTTTCGTTGCGTCCCAGAGAAGTACAGGCAGATCGCTCGCTCGATCGAGTCTCTGCTGGACCTCTCCACGATGTCGATCGAGGAGGCGTTAGGTCGCCTCAAGGTCGTGGACGGCGATGAGCCACAGCCTCTCTCGGGGCCTATCACCATTGGCGGGAAGCTCCATCTCACTCGGGAGCAGTGGGAGGCCAGCCAGGGTGACGGGAGGAAGGGGGAGTCCTCTCCCTCGACAGGCGGCCGCAAGCCGTGCAAGGCGCGCGGAGGCGTCCAACTGCGGTGGGCGCGAAGACGCGCCGAGGGTGGTGCTCGCAGAGGCGCCCAGGGCGGCGCCGCCGGCAACCACAAGCCGGCACGAGACGACGCTTGCCGCAACTGTGGCAAGCTTGGCCATTGGGCCAAAGACTGTCGACAGCCACGACGCGGCATCGAGCTATCTCCAGCGGCACCGGCCGCAACGGCTTTCCTCCACCTCGATGAGCCGAAGGTACACGCCTTCCTCGGCAACAGCTCCAGCAACGACAAGGCTGATGGGTGGTACCTCGACACCGGCGCCACCCATCACATGACTGGCCGGCGGGAGTTCTTCACCGAGCTTGACTCTAGCGTCCGAGGCTCCATCAAGTTTGGGGATGCCTCCGGCATGGAGATCAAGGGCGTCGGCTCCGTCACCTTCACCGCAAAGTCCGGTGAGCACAGGCTGCTCACCGGAGTCTACTACATCCCCGTGTTGAGGAACTCTATCATCAGCGTGGGACAGCTGGATGAGAACGGCTCACGCGTGTTGGTCGAGCACGGAGTCATGACGATTTGGGATCGCCGCCGTCGCCTTCTTGCCAAGGTAACCAGAGGCACTAATCGACTCTACATCCTCAGCGCGCAGGTCGCACAACCAGTTTGCCTCGCCGCTCGTCGGGACGACGAGGCGTGGCAGTGGCACGAGCGTTTCGGGCACCTCCACTTTGAGGCCCTAAAGTGGCTCAGCGCCAAGGAGATGGTGCGAGGCCTGCCGTGCCTTGACCACGTGGAGCAGCTCTGCGACGTCTGCGTCCTAACGAAGCAGAGGCGGCTCCCCTTTCCCCAGCAGACGAGTTTCCGAGCCAAGGAGCAGCTCGAGCTCGTGCACGGGGACTTGTGTGGCCCAGTGACACCGGCCACACCAGGAGGACGACGTTACTTCCTGCTGCTCGTCGACGACCTCTCCCGCTACATGTGGGTGATGGTCCTCGGCAGCAAGGCAGAGGCTGCGGACGCCATCCGGCGCGCGCAGGCTGCTGCAGAGGTGGAGTGCGGCCGCAAGCTGCGCGTGCTGCGCACCGACAACGGCGGCGAATTCACGGCGGCTGAATTTGCGTCGTACTGCGCTGATGAGGGCATTCAGCGCCAGTACACCGCGCCGTACAGCCCGCAACAGAACGGTGTCAAGCGGCGCAACCAGACGGTTGTAGGGATGGCTCGGGCTCTCCTCAAGCAGAGGGGGATGCCGGCCATATTCTGGGGAGAGGTGGTGGTGACGGCCGTCTACATCCTCAACCGCTCGCCTACGAAGGCCCTCGATGGCAGGACACCGTACGAGGCTTGGCATGAGCGCAAGCCGGGGGTCTCCCACCTGCGGGTCTTCGGCTGCCTTGCGTTCGTCAAGGAGCTTGGCCACATCGGCAAGCTCGACGACAGGAGCACCCCAGGGGTGTTCATCGGCTACGCGGAGGGCTCGAAGGCCTATCGCATCCTCAACTCGGAGACACAGCGTGTGCGCACAGCGCGCGATGTAGTGTTCGACGAAGGGCGAGGGTGGGTATGGGACAAGGCGGTGGACGATGGTTCGACTCCGAAGTACGACGACTTCACCGTCGAGTACGTCCACTTCGAGGGAGCTGGGGGAGTAGGCAACTCTTCTTCACCGAGCGTGTCTACCCCAGTCCCCGAGCCTCCACCGACTCCGACACCAACACACTCTCGGGCCACGACTTCGACTACGACGAGCTCCTCGCCTACACCACCACAGCCGGTGACCCCACGCGCTCCAGCACCAACAGCCACTCCTCCGAGCACGTCTACTCCGACGCCAGCTAGTGTTGAGCGCAACCCGGTGGAGTTCGCTACTCCGCTCTCCCACGACGGGGAGCGCATCGACGCGTACCACGACGGCGAGCAGCTACGGTACCGTACGATGGAGGATCTTCTCGGCGACCAGCCGGTGCCGGGACTGGTGCCTCCCGACCTGGAGGCGCAGTTGCACCTTGCGTGCGACGACGGTGAGCCTCGGTCTTTCGCAGAGGCCGAGAAACACGTGGCATGGCGTGCCGCGATGCAGTCGGAGATGGACGCAGTTCAGGAGAACCGCACCTGGGAGCTTGCTGACCTTCCTCGTGGTCACCGCGCGATCACCCTTAAGTGGGTGTTCAAGCTGAAGAGGGATGAAGCCGGAGCCATCGTCAAGCACAAGGCTCGCTTGGTGGCACGCGGTTTCGTGCAGCAGGAGGGGATCGACTACGACGATGCCTTCGCTCCCGTGGCACGGATGGAGTCCGTGCGACTCCTTGCGCTGGCTGCTCAGGAAGGCTGGGCGTCCATCACATGGACGTCAAGTCGGCGTTTCTAAACGGCGACTTGAAGGAGGAGGTCTACGTGCACCAGCCGCCAGGATTTGTGATCCCCGGCAAGGAGGGCAAGGTGCTACGCCTGCACAAGGCCCTCTACGGCTTGCGGCAGGCACCGAGGGCGTGGAATGCCAAGTTGGATTCCACGCTCAAGGGGATGGGCTTCGAGCAAAGCCCGCACGAGGCGGCCATCTACCGGCGGGGCAATGGAGGAAATGCCTTGCTGGTGGGTGTCTACGTCGACGACTTGGTGATCACCGGCACCAAGGATGCGGAGGTCGCGGCGTTCAGGGAGGAGATGAAGGCCACCTTCCATATGAGTGATCAGGGGCCTCTCTCTTTCTACCTGGGGATTGAGGTGCACCAGGACGACTCCGGGATCACGCTTCGACAGACCGCCTACGCCAAGCGCGTCGTTGAGCTGGCTAGGCTCACCGATTGCAACCCAGCTCTCACTCCAATGGAGGAGAGACTGAAGCTGAGCCGTGATAGCACGACGGAGGAAGTGGATGCTACACAGTACCGGCGTCTTGTGGGAAGCCTTCGCTACCTCACCCACACGGCTGGACTTGGCCTTCTCCGTCGGCTACGTCAGTCGGTTCATGCAACGACCGACAATGGAGCACTAGCAGGCTGTGAAGAGGATCATCCGCTACGTTGCGGGGACTCTCGACCACGGTCTCTACTACCCGAGGTGTCCTGGCAAGGCACACTTCGTCGAGTACAGCAACAGCAACCACGCCGGTGACATCGACACCAGCAAGAGCACGAGCGGGATTCTCTTCTTCCTCGGCGAGTGCCTCGTTAGCTGGCAGTCAGTCAAGCAGCAGGTGGTGGCCCTGTCCAGCTGCGAGGCCGAGTACATGGCGGCCTCCGCCGCTTCGACCCAGGCGCTCTGGCTTGCTCGACTGCTTAGTGATCTCCTCGGCAGAGATACTGGAGCGGTGGAGCTCAGGGTGGATAGCAAGTCCGCTCTGGCCCTGGCAAAGAACCCCGTTTTTCACGAATGGAGCAAGCACATCTGGGTGAGGTACCACTTCATCCGAAGCTACTTGGAGGAAGGGAGCATCAAGGCGAGCTACATCAACACCAAGGACCAGCTTGCGGACCTGCTCACCAAGCCTCTTGGGAGGATTAAGTTCCTCGAGCTCTGCTTCAGGATCGGGATGGCTCAACTTCCCCACAAGACGACGCACAAGACTTAGAGGGAGAATGATGGATAAGTCTTTGTGGTCCTTGGTGATGGAATAAGCCTTGTGGTTTTTGGTCCTTGTGGTCCCTCTCTTGCTTTTAGGTTGTTTTTCCCTTTTAGGACAGTATCCTTTCAGTTTTGCTTTTAGCATCTTTCGGTTTTGCTTTTAGCATCTCTAGGACAGCATCTAGGACCATCACCTTTCTGCTTTATTCAGTTTGGATGCTCTCTAGGACAGCATCACGTTCAAATTTTAGACTAGTGTGGGCAGCAATTAGCTTGCAGCCATCCAGCCAGCTATGGCTATATATATGTATTCAACCTCTCTCGGGAAGGTATGGCTTTTGTGTTTTGTGAATGAAGAAACCAGAAAATTGCCCCATCTCGAGTGCCATCCTCTTCTCAATGAGAGTAACCATTGAAATTCTAACATCTGGTATCAGAGCCACACTTTCCTGTAGGCTAAATATCTCCTGCTCCACTGCTTCCCAAGCTCGGTTGAGCTCTTAGCCAGCAGCAGCAGCACCGGCTGCTCCTCCTTCCCCTTCTCCTTCCCCTTCTCCACGCAGCAGCCTCCCGGAGGCGCGCCATGTCCGACGTTCGGTCTCGGCGTTCGGTCGCCTCGAGCACTCGGCGTCAGCAGGATGCCGAGCTTGCCGCAGCAGAAGAGCGCAGGCGAGCAACGGCTCAGACCGCTACAGCAGCAGCGAGGGCGGCCAGACTGGCGGCAGCGGAGTTGGCAGCAGTCAGGGCGGAGGTGGAGGCGGAGGCGGCGGAAGATGCGGCACGTGCGGCGGAGGTAGAGGTTGAGACCTTGCGCAGCAGCATCAACGGCTCCATTGCCGGCGACATCACCGCCGACAGGGAGCTTGAGGAGCTGGCAAGAGGAGGGGCACGGGAGCGGGCAGAGCGGTGGGCAGCAGCCCACCTCCACGGCGGTGGCGGCGACCCAAGGGACCGCGCGCTCGCCGACGGGAACCCAGACGGGCGCGGGCGTGCCGGCGGCAGCCCGGAGCCCGCGCGCGGCCCTCGCAGGCAGCGCGGCTCTCCCTCCCCTGACCGGCGTCATGGTCACCATGGCGTCCAGACGGTGGTCAGGGACTTTGGTCCCGGCGGTGGGTGGCCTACCCTCACCAAAACCAACTACATCGAGTGGGCCGCGGTGATGAGGGTGAGGCTGCAGGTGTGGCACATGTGGGAGGCAGTCCGGTACGGCGACGTCGACTACAACGAGGATGGCAAAGAACCCCGTCTTCCACGAACGGAGCAAGCACATCCGGGTGAGGTACCACTTCATCCGAAGCTACTTGGAGGAAGGGAGCATCAAGGCGAGCTACATCAACACCAAGGACCAGCTTGCGGACTTGCTCACCAAGCCTCTTGGGAGGATCAAGTTCCTCGAGCTCTGCTCCAGGATCGGGATGACCCAACTTTCCCACAAGACGACGCACAAGACTTAGGGGGAGAATGATGGAATAAGCCTCGTGGTCTTTGGTCCTTGTGGTCCCTCTCTTGCTTTTAGGTTGTTTTTCCCTTTTAGGACAGCATCCTTTCAGTTTTGCTTTTAGCATATTTCGGTTTTGCTTTTAGCATCTCTAGGACAGCATCTAGGACCATCACCTTTATGCTTTATTCAGTTTGGATGCTCTCTAGGACAGCATCGCGTTCAAATTTTAGACTAGTGTGGGCAGCAATTAGCTTGCAGCCATCCAGCCAGCTATGGCTATATATATATGTATCCAACCTCCCTCGGGAAGGTATGGCTTTTGTGTTTTGTGAATGAAGAAAACCAGAAAATTGCCCCATCTCGAGTGCCATCCTCTTCTCAATGAGAGTAACCATTGAAATTCTAACACTTGGTCGTGATTCTTCTTTTTGCTTTTGGGTAGTTTCACCTTTTCAGGACAGCATCTACTCCTTTAGCATATTTTTCAGTTGCTAGGACAGCTGCGGTTAGTAGGACAACAGCAGTTAGCATCTCCTTTATGCCTCCTTTATGCTTTATTCAGTTTGGATGCCCTCTAGGACAGCATCCCATTCAAATTTCGAATTTTAGACTAGGAGGGTGCAGCAATAGGCTAGCAGCGAGCTATGGCTATATATATATGTATCCAACCTCCCTCGGGTAGGTATGGCTTTGTGTTTTGTGAATGAAGAAAACCAGAAAATTGCCTCATCTCGGGTGCTATCCTCTTCTCAATGAGAGTAACCATTGAAGTTCTAACAAAATTTATGGAGTGGCGCCAAAAAAAATCTCTAAAGAGGATAACCATTTCCATAAACAAGAATATGCATTAAGTAGAGTTTCAACTTTCAATTGTTAACTTTGGGTAAGATTCCAAATGATGTAGATACTACGTGTAGAGCATGAGGGGCACAAACACAATCCTATAGTCCAAATTGCTTCCTAATCTGTTGAATTAAATTTAAGGTCTGCAGAACAGATTTTATTTCCTGGTTATCACCAGTAACTGACTAGTTCTCATCTGAATTTTCATCCCCGGCCTCAACATTTTTTTTGCAGATATGAATACTACTTTGCTTTATTGCGGGACTTCCCAGATGTGCAGTTTACTCTAAATGGAGGTATAACTACTATTGATCAAGTGAGTATCTTACTCTAGTTATGTAGTTTTGATAATGCAATTCCTGGAAGTTGCTATTTTAATGAACAAATTGCGTAGCGAGTCCATCAGTTCAAATTAGGTCAAACTGATGTTAATGATACAATTTTCCTTGGCAATAAAAAAACAATTTTGTTTCATGAATGCAAAAAGAATATATTTGTTCTCTCTGTACTTAGTACTAGACATTCATGCAGAGAAGTAGCTCTTGTTGCAATCAGATATAATATGCCTGAGTCAAGTCATTTTTATTGAACATCAGTTATATTCATTTGCAGGTCACTGCATCCATAAGACAAGGTGCACATCGAGTTATGGTTGGCCGGGCTGCATATAATAAGTATGGTCATAATTAGAAGCCTTTGTGTCTCTAAATTCTTTGATGCTTTCAAACATGCAAACTAAGTAACTAGAATATGTTTCCTTTTGTTGCTGAAAACCTGAAACAGTATTTAGTTGTAATTTTAATTTTGGTATGGAATAAATGTTCAGTCCATGGAACATGCTGGGGCATGTGGACAGTGAAGTCTATGGGATGCCGACAAGACGCTCTTCTCGTCGCCAGGTTTAGCATCAAAGGATGGTTTTGTTTTCAGCTATCAACTATTTCTTTTATAAGTATTAACTGAACTCCTTGTTTTAGATCCTTGAGAGCTACCAGGTTTATGGTGATTCAATAATGGGCCAATATGGCCCCAGCAGACCAAACGTGAGACAACTTGTCAAGGTGTGGGTTGCACTTACATTTAATGAAAACAACCTATTGTTAGCTTTATGATGTGATGTAGCAGGGCATTTATGTACTTGTTTCACCTTATAATGTAATTATCTGTGACGTATGCACCATTGTGTTGATCATAGCTTTCTGAATTACTCAAGAACTGTTACTTTTGTTTGCGTATAGATAGGGATTCTACTTTATGCCTAAAAGCCTAAGATATGAGTTATAAAAGATAATTATAGCACACTAAATAGAAAATAGAGTTCATTGAAGAAAAGGAAATGCACTGATCAAACAGTTTCATCTGTTTCTCCTGGTATTCTGAGCTGCTTAATTGTGGTCTAACAGTTGCGAGTTCTGCATTCTGTGTATTGATCTGGAAACTAGATTTAATGCAATTACTATATTGACCTTTATCAGTCCTTTTGTAAAATTTATGAGCTTATGCAAATATGTGCTTTCAGTTACTGAGAAAATCGCTTGATTTTGACAGCCATTGTTAAATTTATTCCACTCGGAACCTGGCAATGGCCTTTGGAAACGCAAGGCTGACTCTACACTGCGTCATTGCAAGGTAAGTTATAAAAAAAAAAGTCTATCCTTTGTCATGCCACATTACTTCTTCCAACAAATACAACAGAAGAAAGATGCCTATACTATACTCAAATGAATTATTGTGAGACTTGGTTTTATGAATACTTGTAAGGTTAATTTTGATCTAGTAAATGAAAATGAGGAAGCTGTTCAATCTCCAAGTGGTCAAGTAATCATCTCAAACACTTAACTAGTTTTTTTTTTCTAACTTAATTATCTGAATGTTGTTGGTCATCATTTTATATGCTAGCCAGTTATGTTTTAAGCTACCTGAAAATGAGAAAATCAGTATGAGGTGCACAATCATGGATCTGGATTTTTACACCTTGAGGGCATGTGCCCCGTAATCTCCAAACCTCTCAAATATCAATTAAATAATTGAAAAATATTCAAATATTAAATTTAATTTATCATTTCAGAACATTTCAATTTGAAACTCAGATGTGTATATGAAGAAACAGAAGAATGACTCCACCCTTGCATAGCATGAGCAATTCATAGCTATATTTTGTTTCACTTATGACTTGACAATTTGTGCCTTTAACTTCATTCAAAATTTTCATGACTATTTGGATGGCATGCAAAGCATGAAGGCACATGCTCTTAAGGTGTAAAAGGACCTTTCCCAAAATCATGCAAAATTGGTTCATTGTGAAATGTGAATATGTCGTCAGCGTATATGAAAATTAATTATTCTACATGCATACTGACACCTGCATTATTTTCTTTTTCCCTTCAAATGTCCCTTAAATGATAGCTTAAGTCATAAACTTCATTTGTGCAGACACTTGAATCCTTCTTAGAGGAGACTCTTGACGCGATACCAAACTCTGTCCTTGACGCACCAATAGGTAAGGAGGCATACATCGAGGAGGGACATTTTGCTGATATGGATTCATTATTGCCGCCTAGATATTCATCACTGACCAACGGTAGCTGTGAAATTCCAGCACTTGTAACTGCATCCACCTGACCACCATATTTTCCGTGGAGATGCTAAAATTTACTGAAAAAAAAAGATAAGCCTGCAAGATTACTGTTATAATACAGACCCCTCCTGGGTTAGATTAGATACGCGGGAACACTATTGATTGTAAGTTGAAACAAACATCATGAAATGTGTATATATTCTTTGGGAGGAAGGATATGTCATCGTTCCACTGTAGCTTCGATCAGGAACCCAATTATGTCTTATGTCTTTTTCAACGTAATTGCAGAAGAAAATGTATTCCCTGCTTAGTTTCAGCCAGGAAGGCATGAACTGGCCTCGAACCAGGTCCAGTCACTTCAAGCTACTCTTTTAGAATTTAAATTTTGGCATAAAATTTAAATTCCCGAGCAGAGAGAGAATGCTATATTTCAGAGGTTGGGCGCTCTTACTGTGTTTTTCTCAGAGCCGGGTTCCCTGATCCATTCTGACCTAATTGGATGAATGAAAAAGGGGACCTATTTCGGTTCCTATGTCTATCGTTATCGCCCTATTCTCTCAATTGTCTATCCTTTTAAAAAGAGGGGGAGTACCTTTTCTTTAGCTTTCAACATGAAAGATTGACCCTAAAATGCCAGGGGAACATATAATATCCACACAAACTTCCCATACACACCAACTAGCAAATGTCACGAAAAATTCTACAAAAAATTGTACACATACTTAGAATAGTATTACACCTACATATGAAATTTTATCTTCAACTTCATTATATTTTAGCCGTAATAAAAAAGATAAAATTCAGACAGATTTTTACCCTTGAAACTATCATATTTTTCACTTTTTGGTAACGACTAAAATATAATGAATTTGAATATGAGACTTCGTAGATATGTGTAATACTAATATGAGTAAATGTCCATTTTTTTTATAGAATCTTTCATGATATTTGCTAATTGGTGTGCATGAAGTGTGCACGGTAAGCTTACGTGCATAGGATATGTTTGCAAGTGCCAGATATGCAATTTTGATGAAGGACTACTTAGCTAAAGTGATCTTCTGACTAAAAAAGAGTGGACTTTAATTTTTTGTAGAATTTTTCGTGACATTTGCTAGTTGGTGTGCACGAAGTATGCACGGTAAGCTTGTGTGTATAGGATATGTTTCCACGTGCTAGATATGCAAGTTTGATGAAGGACTACTTAGCTAAAGTGAACTTCTGACTAAAAAAAGTGGACTTCAGGAACTGACTTAAGAATAGCTCTCTCTCTCTCTCTAATACTCTTGCAAAGAATTGGATAAGTGGAAAAATGCTAAACAGTTATTCAATCCACTAGTGCAACTGAAGTGAAGGAATTACCTATTCTGAACCTCAACAAGAAAGAGCTCAAAACCACTACTTGTGAACAGCTCTCCTCAATTGAAAGCGCGCTACTGTTACTATCAGTCTAGTCTCCCGAGGGCACTCTTTCGATCTCGAACAAACTTACTTCTTTTGCCGGAACAGAGATATTCAAAAAACACGATTTCCAGTCCTATCTTAAGACTCCCAAGAAAGAAAAAAATAAAAGCGGACTAAAGAGAAGAACACTTTTATACCTAGATTGGAGCTGGACTTGAACCTTCATATCCATATTTCACTCCACTTTCATATCTGGAACATCGACTTGCACTTTCAATAGTGAATTATTCACTTTCCAAAATTGTCTCATATTCACATAGGGCAAGAAAGACCAATAAGACCTTTGACTTCCTATCTCTTCTTTCCATAAAGCTAATGCCCATTAAACATCTAAAACTCAACAAGCATAACATTTATTAGGACATGCCCAATGTAGGGTGCACCCCCATAGCAAAAGTGATTAAGCACTCAGCTAGGGATATGCCTCACACAATGCAAGCCATATCCCCATCTCATTTTTGTGTTTCAGCACCTGTCAGTCCGTCACATTTTGCATTTAAACCTGTAGATTTTTTTTATTTGCATATGCATATAATATTTGCAGTATACCCCAAACAATCACAAACATATATAAACGCGCATCCCTTCTCTTTTCTTCCGCTTCCCCTCTCCCTTCCCCTCGGCGCCGCCTCCCCTATCGCCTCTCTCTTCCCGGAGGCGCCGCCCCTCCCTCCTCTCTCTTCGCCAGTGGATCAACGCGGAGGCAACGGGGATCGATGCCGCGGTGGCAGATCGACGCGGAGGCGACGGGGATCGATGCTGCGGCGGCAGATCCACGCGGAGGCGACGGAGATCGATGCGGCGGCGGCGGATCCACGCGGAGGCGACGGAGATCGATGCAGCGGCGGCGGATCCACGCGGAGGCGGCGGGGATCGATGCGGCGGCGACAGATCGACGTGGAGGCGGCGGGGATCGAGGCGGCGATGGCGGATCTACGCGACGGCGGCGGGGATCGAGGCGGCGACGACGGATCTACGCGGCGGCGGCAGGGATTGAGGCGGCGACGGAGGATCCACGCGGCGGCAGATCAGGTCGTCGATCGCCGACGGAGCTTCCCGGGTAGGCCCTTCTCTCCAGTCCAACCCCTCTCCATCTTCTTCCCGGCACGGGAGCAGCAACAGCGCGGGGCAACGCCTCTCTCCCAACGCGGCTCCTCACCCGTTCCTCGCCAAAAAGCTGCCGAAACCACCCGACGCTCTGTAGAGGGTCGCGGCGCTAGGTGAGGGTGCGGTCCTGGTCGACGTGACATGAATATTCCCCTTGGGAAGGGTGAGACCACGCTCCAGCTCCAGCGTGGAGCGTTGAACATGGCCTTAGTACCCCTAAAGCCTAGCATGCAAGCATGCCACATCAACCTACTAATCACATAAAGCTCAACATACAAACATATAGTAATTATATCTACAATTTATTTCATTCTAAAACTAAACTAAACATAAACATCATTCTCAAATCATTTTCACAATATTTCAATCCAAATCATTTAATCATTTCTACAATATCTAATATATATATCCCGCAGCAAAGCGCGGGGCATCATCTAGTTTAATGTGGAGTATAATCGAGACTCAAAATATCAGTACCTTGCGTAAATGCCCACCAAAGGGAGAAGATTACCAAACTTTTTTCTGGACCTGAGAATATTACCGTTTTATATCCTCTTATCTACTCTTGGTTTATAAATTAAGATATTTTATTCCTTTAATACTCCTTACCGCAGTTAGGGGTTATATTCTTTTATGTGCGCAAACAAACATAATGTTTGTAATACCTGATCTCTAGTAGACACCTCAAAAACACGACACAGACATAACAAGTAGTTATTATAGCTTTATATTTCAAATAGTGTTGAGGTAGGTCTAATAAGAAAACCAGGTCTTAGGATTATTTGCCAGCATTTCGCCCACTATCCTCACGAACTCGGCAACATATTGCCAACGCTAAAGTTATGGAAAAAGAGCGAACACCCAATGACTCTACCTATATTGAAAATGTTAAATGCCCATGTTTTTACTACTAAACAATAATGGTTTGTGTTATGACCCCAAAGGAAAATTATATATTTTTGCAAATATCAACTTCTGAAGTTGTTCCAGGCAGGAAAAAGAAGCTTCTGAAGAACAAGGTGAGTATAAAAATATAAAATCCTAAAGAGTGGATCTTCGTACACTTCGTTGACACCGTGGAAGCCTACTTAAGTGTTCCAAAATCGAGCAGTCATGATACAAGTAAAATTTGCCGGGCAAATGACATCCGCAGGTCAAACAAAAAACCACGGCAGCATAAACCTGTAAACCAGAAGAAAACAAAATCACCATCCTTTGTTGCTTGCAAAGTCGCCACCAACTACGGCAGCATATGGTCGATAGCTCAGAGCACAATAAAAATCCATGCTGGCATCAAAATCTGTTGGTGCAAAACCAACCTAGAAGACCTTGCACACAACAAAGGTGTTCCTCCGAGTCATGAATAATTACTTTTCCATACTTCTAGTTGCTCTCGTGTCCAAGTTCTTCAAGTATCTGTTGCGCTTCAGCTAGCAACCCCTGCAATGTCAATGCCTCCGACACAGCGAAATCGCTCTGAACAATACCAGTGAGCCGCCTCAAGCATCTGATATACTCGTTCTTGAGAGTCTTTGACACGAATTTCCGCGTATGAGGCTGCAGGGGTAGAAGTTCTCTCAAAAAGGGCAATTTGATTGTGTAATTTGTGCTTTCATACGATTGAATCTAACATGTAGCATGCTGCTGCCTACCTTTCGTCCTTGGTTTACATTTATACTGATACAAGGAGGTTGAAAATGGATTTTTGCACGTACCTCTTTGTAAAGCGAAACACACTTGTTAAGAGCCTGTTCAACAGGATATAAATCTTGTTCCTGAAATTAAAGAGTTGGATAAGTTGAAATACTAAAGGTAAGCCAGGGATGAAAATGGAACTGAAATCAAAGTTGCCATTTCACATAGAATAAACAGAAGTCCTGCAATTCATGAATTTCAATGAGGCCATCATAACTAGTGTAGTACCATTTTTAATAGGAAAATTGCCAAATTATATTTTTCAATAGTGGTGCATTTCATTCTAAGCTTAAAAATGTTCTAGTTAATGATCAATATTGTCCCATTCCATAGAGCATTACAGTAACATTTAAAGACTCATTAGTTTGTCTGACGTTCCAAAACTTAATTTAAAAGTTTATGCACATTTCCATGTATGGAAATTGTCTAATATGCACGCAACATTGGTTTTGAATATCAGAAGCATACAAATAAAAAAGAACCTTAACAAGAATAAAAATTATTAAAATGAACAATGCACTGCTATTAGAAGCATATAGTAAAATGGAATGCTTCCATTATTTGAAAAGAATGAGGGAATTAAAAAAGAAGTCAATTCACTGAATAAAAAAAGTTAATAGAAGTACCCCTGGAGTTAGCATATTCTTCATTCCACTTTCAAGAAGTCCAGCAACTTCAAGTGCTTGCAACTACACGCATAATATGTAAAAACATGTCATTAGCAAAGTTTAATAAATTTACTTGCTTAAATATCATATCTACACGGCTACAAATCTAGTCCTAAACTTCCAAAGTGTGAAAGCAAATGCTCAAATATCATGTTAGTGTAAACTTTTTTTTTCTTTTTTTGCAGGAGCAACGATTTGGTTATAGCCATTAGGATCATAATGTATTCTGATGAACTTTAGACTTGTGTATATATTCATTAGACATGGGTCAACAAAGTATTGGAATATCTCATTTAAATTTATTAGCACCACCCCAGGCTTCCCTACGATGCAACAATCCGGATAGTATATGTGCTGTCTAGTCTCTTCCACAAGGTTGAAGTCTCCAACAGCCACGATTGCTATCGTTTGCAATCATCTCACCTAGTCTCCAACCTTAGCACCACCACTAGAGTTTTGAGAAGCAGTCATGGGTGTAGGAGGCATCTTTTTGCTCAATGGCGGCATTGCATGAAGTGAGCGAGGGCTCTCCTAACCCCTTGGTAGGGCCGTGTATAATAAGTGATCCAAACCCACCTGGAGCTACCCCACCTTAGAGGCAAGTGAAGTTGTGTATACAATTAGCCTGTTAGTCAAACTGACCCACACACAACTACAAGCAGCCAAAGAGATCCTAGGAATCTTCAATGAAGCTAATTCAGAGGTGTTTAAGGTCAGAAAATATGTTCACATAATAAATAATATTCTCCAATGGAAGCATCTTCATAAGTGCTTAAATGGTTGCAAGAATAATCAATTTAGGGGATTACAAGCTTAAAAACCTGCTGAGCATGATGCTTCATCAAGCATTGGTGCTTCAGAACTAGCACCTCTCCAAGCACCTGTGTTGAAAATGGCCTAGGATGCAGCTAAGACGATCTGCTGTTATCACCTAGGACTTACTTGCTAGGAGATGCAATTCCCTTGCAAGTATCATAGCATTATGTGGTTGTGCGAGACAATGGTTATGAACTTTCCTTTTCATTCTTTATGCAGTGATACACAACTTTTACACGTATTACCCCAGTAGCCTTTCTCTCTCAAGTTCTTTGTATAGCCCCCCCCCCCTCCCCCTCCCTCCCCTCCCCTCTAACCCCAATCAACCCGACACCACCCAGACATCCTCTAGACGTGAAGCAACATAAGGCTGGTATGGAAGAGTTAAAATAGTGCCAACATAAACAAGATAACACAAAAAAATGACATCTGAAACTACTAGGAGTCATTAGAGAACATACAAGTGCACTAGTTGCTGCAATCTTATCCCTGTCTGTAGTTCGTCCATTATTGAGTTTGTTCAGATCTTTCCTTGAATCATATAATATTCCTTCTGCTATCCTATCATGACAAAACATTGAAGATTTTATCAGCAGTGCTATTCAAGCAAATTTGTAATGCTATTTCATTTCAGCATTCTATAAAAATAAAAAGAACATAGAAAGTGTTATGAACAGCACTTGTATTCACCTCAGGGCAAAAGGCCCAAATATATACAGGTACAGGAATACACAAATATGCAGAAAAACCCGTTACAAATAAAGGAATATAAAATCTAAATATACATCTAATACCCCCCCCCCTCCTCTCAAACTCAGGGTGGATCAACAACACTGAGTTTGGAGAGATAGAACCTGTGTTGAGCTCTAGTTTGTGCTTTGGTAAAGAAATCAGCCAGCTGCAACTCGGAAGGCACATACTGAAGAGCAATCACCTGATCTTGTACCTGGGTGCGTGTGTAAGAAGCATCCACCCCAATATGCTTAGTAAGCTCATGCTTGATAGGATCACGAGCAATACTAATAGCACCTGTACTGTCCGACAACAAAGAGGTCGGGGAAGTCACAGAAACACCAAGATCCTCAAGTAACCAACGTAACCAAGTAACCTCTGCTGTCAAAAGGGCCATAGCTCGTAACTCAGCCTCTGCACTAGAACAAGAAACTGCTGTTTGTTTCTTAGTCTTCCAAGCAATGAGGGAACCACCAAGAAAAACACAATAAGCAAAAAGAGATTTGCCATCAGAGGAATCACTAGCCCAAGTAGCATCAGAATACCCTTGAAGTTGTAAAGATGTGGACCGAGGAAAGAAATGACAACAAAAGATAGTCCCCTGAAGATAACGAAGAACACGAAGAAGATGACTATAGTGAAGTTGGGTGGGAGCAGAAACAAACTAACTCAGAATATGCACAACATAGGAAATATTAGGACGAGTGACAGCAAGATAAACAAGACTCCTACGAGATGGCGATAGCAAGTGGGATCAGCTAATGGCACACCAATAGTGGCAGAAAGATGAAGATTAAGTTCCATAGGAGTGTCAATCGTGCGTTGGTCAGTGAGAGAAGCCCTATCCAGAAGATCCTGAATATACTTGGTCTAGGAAAGATAAAAACCCTCGTGGGTAGAGGAAACCTCAATCCCTAGAAAATAGCGAAGAGAACCAAGATCAGACATCAGAAATTGAGCATTGAGACATGCAATAAAATCAGCATCATCGCCAGTGATAATCATATCATCAACATAGAGAAGAAGAATGATACGCCCACGAGGCGAAGTATGGACAAAAAGTGCAGGATCATGAGCACTAGCCGAAAAACCAGCAGCAGTGACTACAGAAGCAAACCGTTGAAACCAAGCACGAGGAGCCTGCTTGAGCCCATAAAGAGAGCCGCGAAGACGACAAACCATACCCTCAGGAACCGAATATCCTAGGGGTGGTCGCATGTAAACCTCCTCGTGCAATCCCCCATTGAGAAAAGCATTTTTAACATCAAGCTAGGAGATATTCCAATGACGAGTAGAGGCTACTGCAAGAGTTCAAACAATGGTCATGTGAGCCACAGGAGCAAAAGTCTCATGATAATCACGACCATGCTCTTGTTGAAAACCACACGCTAAAAGGCGAGCTTTATAGTGTTCAAGAGTTCCATCAGAGCGAGTCTTGACCTTAAAGATCCCTTTACACGTGATAGGACGAACATGAGATGGCAATGGAACAAGATCCCAAGTACCAGTACGCTCAAGTGCAACAAGCTCCTCTGCCATTGCATGTTGCCATTCTTGATGAATAACAGCATCACGATAAGAACTAGGCTCAGCGAGAACAGTCGCAACATAACCATAGCGATCCTCTGGACGAATCGTAACTAAATTACGATCCCGAAGATTGTATCTCGGAGGAGCAACAGGAGAAGCATCAACAGAAGGCTCCATAACACGAGGGCGACGACTATAGACTTGAGTAAGAGGGTTTAGGGGAGGTAGCAGAAGCAAGAAGACTGGTAAGCGCAGCGGAAGGAAGACGAAGCCAGTCAAGCTCCCAAAGATGCTGAGAATCATGGCGGCGAGGGCCAGTACCAACCAGGAGACCCATGCGTCGATCCTGAACACAACAAGAGTCAGAATCAAGAATAACACGACAATCATGATCAACAAGCTGTCCAGCAGACATGAGCTGTATGGTCAAATTTGGAACATAGGAAACAAAAGGAACACTACAAGAAGATGAAAGAGTCCCATGACCAACAACAGAAAGAGGGGTACCATCGGCAGTTTGAACAGTAATAGGGACTAAAGGATGACATATAGATGAAAGACAAGACTTATCAGGGGTCATATGGAAAGAAGCACCAGAATCAAGAATCCACGGAAAAGTGAGAACCAGGAACAACAAAATCAGATTGTGCAGAGGGCAAAGCAACTAAACTAGCTAAACCTGTCGAAGCAGAAGCAGTGAGGCAACGCAGTAACATAAGGATCTCCTGTGTATCAGAACTGCAGAACTGCCAGTACTCTTCTGAGAAGAAGAGCGAGTACTCTTCTGAGAAGAACTCCCAGCAACCGATGAAGAACGACTGCGCCATAAATCCTTCTTCTTCCTAAAGCAAAATGACTCCACATGTCCATCTCGATCACAGTAAGTGCAATGAAGATGACCACTGGAAGATGATACCACTTGAGAAGAAGTATGTGCTGGTAAAGTAAAGGAAGGAGCTGCTGATGATGAAGACACTGAAGCTGTGGTACGAACGAGTACTGAAGAAGGATGCGATATAATACCCGCTTCACGAAGACGAATCTCCTCAGAATGAATCTCAGTTAGAGCCTCCATCAAAGTAACACGGGGGTGCCGAGCAAGCAACTGTGCACGGATCGACTCATACTCAGAGCGAAGACGTGTGAGGAAGTCATAGATGCGGCGAAGATCCATGTGAGACCACTGGCGCTGACAACACTGACAAGTACGACAAATATCAGGTCCCAAAGGATCAAGCTGGCGCTAGACAGAGGATAACTGTGTATAGAACTCATCCCCTGTAGCATCTCCCTGCTGTAAAGACTGCTTCTGACGCACCATAGCAAGATATAGAGCATCACCAGTAGGTGCATAACGGTCACGAAGGTGTGTCCACGTGAAATGAGCTGAAGCAAGGGTAACCACATCACCAGTAAGATGGACCTCCATACTAGCTACAAGAATAGCAGAAGCACAAGCATCCTCATCCAACCAAGTCTTGTACATAACATACTGACCCTGATAAGTTTCCAAAGCATCATCATACTCCTCTTGTGCCTTTGCTCTGTCTTCATCAGTAGTCTGAGCTGAAAAAGTAGGCATAGCTTGAGCCAAGGGGAAAGGGGGGCAAGCTAGCTCACCAAAAAGAACGTCCCAAAGGCGTTGACCACACATATGTAGACGCATATGCTGAGCCCAATGATTATAGTTGATGCCATCAAAAATAACTGGGCAACGAGGAACTGAAACTGTGCCTGATAGAGATGACATTGGCACGGAGCAACGGGCGACGGCGAGAGCGCAAATGAAAGCGGCAACAAGCGAAAGAACAGGAACCTCTCTCTCTCTCTCTTTTCTTTTGTTTTTCTTTTCTTTTCTTTTTTTTAACAGCCTCGGAGAAACACCCAAACGCTGGTGCAACTGCACAGGAAAGGCAGCAAGAGGCTCTTTTTTTTATTATTTTTTTTAGAAAAATCACCCGATCTGGATCGGTACCGATTCGAAGGAAACGAATCGACACCGGCGGGCAACACGAAACGAAATGGCGGTTGGCGCTGGGCAGCAACGAGCGGCAGCTGCTCGACGGGCAGTGGCCGGAGACGGGTGGCGACCGGCGGCGGCCGGAGACGAGCGGCGCCGCAGCCGACGAGGGGCAGCGGCCGGAGACGAGCGGCGACGGGCAGCGGCTGAAGACGAGCGGCGCCACAGCCGACGACGGGTGGCAGCTGGAGATGAGGGGTGGGTTGCGGCCGGAGACGAGCGGCGCCGCAACCGACGAAGGGCAGCGGCAGGAGACGAGCGGACGACGGTAGCCGACGACGAGTGATTGCCGGCGGTGAGCGACGGGCAGCAGAACGAACTGGAGCTGGTGACGGGGACGACAAGCGGTGGCCGGCGAGCATAGATGAGCGGTCGCCGGCGCAGAGACAAGCAGCACCGGCGACCACGACGAGTTCGATGACCACCGCGAAAAAATCGACCACAAAAACCAGGTAACGTGTGTGGAAAAATCTTTGGATCATCTAGGACAAGAAGAAAAGTCTAACCCTAGTTTAGGCTCTGATACCATGTTATGAACAGCACTTTTATTCACCTTAGGGCAAAAGGCCCAAATATATACAGGTACAGGAATACACAAATATACAGAAAAACCCTTTACAAATAAAGGAATATAAAATCTAAATATACATCTAACAGAAAGAAGCTCAAATATAATTGGTAACCAGAATTTTGGTATTAATTGGAGCCGGTTGGGAACAATTACCATAGGCAAAATGATTGCCCAGCTTTACATTTAGGTGCAAATCAGACAGCGAATTATTTTTATGAAAATGACTTACAGAATTGGTAGCTACTTTGGCTAAGCTTGGCACCATTAGTAGCCCTACTAGGCTATTATGCCCCAAAAAGAACATCTTAAGTCATTTGGAGCAAGTAAACTAGTCTAAAAGGATATGCCTACTTTGCACTTTATTTTATGGTATCTGGCCAGAAGCATTGCTACTTAATTAGACTTCACTCTAGGCCAGATATGATTACCTCAAAATGCAGAACCAAGGCAGACTAGGCAAGGTTAACCACTTAATTAGGCTTCTCGAAATGCAGAACTAACATAATCAAACTTCTATATCTTGTAAAGTAGGGGCTATATGAAGTTCACCCAAACTGTAACGCTATCCAGTTTTCTTGTCTCCAGTGCCGTCAATGGGGACACAACAGCAATGAAATATTAAAATGTGGACACTGACCAGTTCTCGAATGTAATTTATGTAAGTATGGAGATCAAGATCTTGGATTGTTAAAAAGGACATAGACCTCTGTTAGAATTTCAATGGTTACTCTCATTGAGAAGAGGATGGCACTCGAGATGGGACAATTTTCTGGTTTTCTTCATTCACAAAACACAAAAGCCATACCTACCCGAGGGAGGTTGGATACATATATATAGCCATAGCTGGCTGCTAGCCTATTGCTGCACCCTCCTAGTCTAAAATTCGAAATTTAAATGGGATGCTGTCCTAGAGGGCATCCAAACTGAATAAAGCATAAAGGAGGCATAAAGGAGATGCTAACTGCTGCTGTCCTACTAACCACAGCTGTCCTAGCAACTGAAAAATATGCTAAAGGGTAGATGCTGTCTTGAAAAAGGTGAAACTACCCAAAAGCAAAAAGAAGAATCACGACCAAGGACCACAAAGACTTATCCAACATTCTCCCCCTAAGTCTTGTGCGTCGTCTTGTGGGGAAGTTGGGCCATCCCGATCCTAGAGCAGAGCTCGAGGAACTTGATCCTCCCAAGAGGCTTGGTGAGCAAGTCCGCAAGCTGGTCCTTGGTGTTGATGTAGCTCGCCTTGATGCTCCCTTCCTCCAAGTAGCTTCGGATGAAGTGGTACCTCACCCGGATGTGCT